ACAGTCATCCCATTTAGGGGGTAACACAGTAGACGTGGGACAGTCATCCCATTTACGTGTAACACAGTAGACTTGGGACAGTCATCCCATTTATGTGTAACACAGTAGACGTGGGACAGTCATCCCATTTACGTGTAACACAGTAGACGTGGGACAGTCATCCCATTTATGTGTAACACAGTAGACGTGGGACAGTCATCCCATTTACGTGTAACACAGTAGACTTGGGACAGTCATCCCATTTATGTGTAACACAGTAGATTTGGGGGGACAGTCATCCCATTTATGTGTAATACAATAGACTTGGGACAGTCATCCCATTTATGTGTAACACAGTAGACTTGGGACAGTCATCCCATTTACGTGTAACACAGTAGACTTGGGACAGTCATCCCATTTACGTGTAACACAGTAGACTTGGGACAGTCATCCCATTTACGTGTAACACAACAGACTTGGTATATACATGTAAAACAATAGACACATGTAACACAAGTAAAAACCATTTATTTCGACAACTGGCAAAAACAACAAAAAACAACCAGAATCCATATAAATATATAAAATTATTTTAAAATTCTAGCAAAGTGTCTGGTTTTCCTTGGAAAATAAATTTTGTTCTGACCACAGATGAACTCTTTAGCCTCTTGTCCAACCAGACAATTAACGGGATATGCTCCAGCACAAATAACACAACTTTAGGATACTTCACGACAATCACAAAGTTTGTGAGAACCCTGTACTTATGAAGTTCAATATGAGAACCCTGACAATGCGATTCTATGTATCAAATTCATAGTGGTAAAAACATTGAGCAGGATTACTGGTTAGGAGTCTCAAGCAAACACAATCAAATCTAATAGTTAAGCAACTTGACAAGTCCATTCCAGAAAACGTATCACTGGGACCATTCCTGTCCCTTATGGTAAGTCATTTAATTCTTTTTATAAGTCAACACCACTAACATTAGGTGCAACTAGAGAAAAACTTGGTGTCAATCTCTATCTAAGCCTTCATTGATCAATCAACCACCAAGAATGGTTGAAAAGGAACTGGACATATTCTCTGTAAGAAACTTCAACCACTTCACTCATATCAGCAAGTTTTCAAACCTCAACAATTTCTGTTACAGGAACTACCAGTTTCAAAGGTCAAGACAGTTACACTTGCTGAGAGTAACTTGGTCAGAATTTAGTAAAATGACCGAGTCTAGCAAAACGTTGGTTTCCTTCATCAGAAAGGATAGGTTTAGGAAAAGAAGCTGGGTTTAATTTCTCCCTCTTAATTTAAGACCTACCGTGGGTGACTCAGAACCAAGAGGATCTATGGACTGCCAATGTCAGAGGTTTCCATATCAGAAACAAAAGAGGAACCCTATGGATGTACTAAAAACAACTAGGCCTAACTTGACAAAGGACCAAGAAAAACTTAATGGATACAACAGAAGGGTTAATTTCCATCAGTGCAATTTGAAAAAAAGATCTTGAATAAAATAGATGCCCGTTAGGATAAACTATATATACATAAAGAGTTATATATACCTACTATAGTCTAACAAAATATAGTGGTGAAAATACACAAGTTAGGAACAAGAAAAGATAATTACCAACCAAACTTTCCAAAAGGCTCCACCTACTAGTATTCTTCTGAACTATTCATCCTCCCCATTATCTGTTGGCTTCTTGTGTCTAATAGCTATTGTACATGACTGTATTTATACCATAACTATATGGGTCAACTTGCACCAAGAACCAATCCAGAAGATAATCTTAAATTCCACTAATGCAGTAATACAAGGTGACAAACTATGGTTTACATGTTACCTTAAACTTTAAGGCCAACTAATAAAGTCTGACAAAAGGTAAAATATGGGATGTCTTGTTACAATATATGTAATTATTGTTGTTTTTTTTGTGTTAATACTAAGTACATATTAATATTTCCTTTAGTGCTATAAACACCCAATAGTTTACTTTATGAACAATGTCTAAACTACATTTAACAATACCTCATTAAAGGGTGACCAGTTACCATTCATAAGCGCTCGCTGAAGTTCTGATGCTGAAATACTTCCATTGCCTTCTTGGTCAACAGCTTTAAACCACTCCCAGATATAAAGTGGAACATCAGAGGGTGGTCCTAAAAGTATACCTCACGTTAATTATTACTAGCAATCAGATTTGAAAATAGCATGTATAGTTTATTTTTCAAAGTGTAGTTTTCAAGATGCTTATAATGTCTCAGTGAAGTTTGTTTGTGGAGCTCACTTTGAGAGAAAAGTTGGCATTTGCTGTAAGATCTCTTAAACTGTTTTCTCTTGAAAAAAAAAAGTTAAGATCTGACTGAGATGTTTAAGATTTTTAAGGGAACTGATAGTATTGAAGCATCATATTTTTTTCATACTTAATGGGGAGAATGGTAGAACAAGAAGATACAAATAAAATTTTGACAGGGTAGGAGTCATCTTCAGCTACGACAATCTTATTTTTCTAACAGGGTGTTGGCCTTTGGGATGGATTGCCTTTAGCTGTGGTAGATGCAGTACATTTAAGGGAATAATTAATGAACATTTAACTGACAAGGACTGGTTTTGAGGAATGTTTTTAAGTTTAGTTTGTTGATTTGATGAGACTGTCTTGATGGACCAACAGGCCACTTGCCCTTAAATATTATAACAGTTTTATTTTTCTAATGCAAAAAGGGTTGGTGTCTACAATATAAGGGGCCATCTGCAAACTTTACTAACTCATTAATTATGCCCTTATTAATATCATTAATGTAAATAAGAAAAACCGAAAGCACTGACACCTGAGTCACACAACTAGTAACAATGGCCAAGTTTGACTGGGCTCCATTAATAACTTTTTTTTTCTCTCACCCAGCTACATTACAATTAAATTAACTAGTCTCCACCTCCAACTGCCACTGATGCAACTTTCTTAGCTTATATTCTGTGACACCAAACAAGCACCCTCTCCATAATCCAGATAACAGTAATGTCATAAAAAAATGTCAACAGATTGACAAGACAATATTTCCCTTAGGTAAATCAATGCTGATACCACTCTTTTATTATTGTATCTCATTAAATACATTGCAAATATTTTATTATTATTAATTTATTAGACTCAAATTATTTCAATTAATAGAAGAAAAACAATTATATATAATTTCCATGGCAATTCTTATGACACCCCTTAAAAATAGGAGTAAAATTGGTAACTCAAGAACATGTAGCTGCCCACCATCTATTGGACTACTGTTCAGTAACAAAAATAAAAGAGAGGGGTTTACATATTTGATTTTTGACCTTATTTTTAAACATCTCAAATCTTCCTACTTATCACCAAAAGGTTAATATCTAAGGAATTGCTGAGAGTCTAGAATATTGCTACCAATTAGCCAGCTATTTTTCATAAGTCCTTTTTGATTTCTTAATTTATTTTTTTACTGAAGAAGAGTAAATGACCTAATTTCTTGGAGATATATTCTAAACCTAAGTATGAGAGAACACTTTAAAATTTGCAAAAGACAAACTAAAGGCTTTAGTTAAGACAAGTAGTTATATTTTTTCAACAGGTTGACAGACATATGGAATAAGTTGCAGGTGCAATTGTGAGGATCAGCACTTCACAGGAACTTAGGAGAATGGGTTTGAATGTTTACTTTTCATTTTCATGGATATGAAAAGACAGCCTTGAAGGATGAAATGTTTCCTTGTTGCCTATATATTGTGTTAAATCTCTAGTTTAATAACATACAAAATGTTTTGAGCTTCTGCTGTACTTGAAACTAAAAACAAGAAGTTGAACAAAGGCAAAGTGGAATAACTATATTTTTTTTTGTTTCTACATTTTTTTTGAAGTTTGACTAATGGCAGTGATAATATTTTAAACAAACTGTATGAAATTATGGTGTCTAATTTAAGAAAATGTTTTAAACAAACATTATTGCTCAGAAAATTATATAAATAATAACTTTTTTTCAAAGTCCAAGATTCCACAAACTTACGTTCGTTTATCTTCCTCAGATTATTGACAAACTTTCGAATACAATTAAATTAAAATACAAATAAACGTATATATTAAATACTTATGAGATACAAACAAACCTTGTAACTGATGGTGATATTGTTGTCCGTATCCCCACGACATATGTTGTTAATTATTAAAACTACTAATCCTTCGTTCTAATTAACTCTTGTATCCAACATCAACTTACTAAACGGAGTTTAGAAAGGCATACTTAAATGTGTATTTACGACGAAAAGATCAAATTACGAACAATGACTAATGTGCAAAACCTTGCCTTAACCAACAACTTTGTGATTAACCCGAATAATTTAGTCATTATATTCCACCTATCTCTGATCGCAACGTAGATCAATTGTAATTTGACAGAGGGCGCTGAATTATTCGAGTTAAATTTGATAACATAACCTTGGCGAAACGTTGTATATTTGTAATTGTTTGTTTGTTTGTTCTTGAATTTCGCGCAAAGCTACACGAGGGCTATCTGCACTAGCCGTCCCTAATTTAGCAGTGTAAGACTAGAGGGAAAGCAGCTAGTCATCACCACCCACCACCAACTCTTGGTCTACTCTTTTCCCAACGAATAGTGGGATTGACCGTCACATTATAACGCCCCACGGTTAAAAGGGCGAGCATGATTCGAACCCGCGACCCTCAGATTGTGAATCGAGCGCCCTAACCACCTGGCCCTGCCCCAGGGAATAGAATTACCTACCAAAAATAATTTATGTTACTTTTAGTACAATGGGGTGTCTGCAAGCCCGCATTAAGGCAGTTTGAGCCCCTGGTGCACCTATATTTTTGAGGCCCCTTAAATAGGGTACAAGCAAATTTGAAATTAATTATAATTAATACATATTAAATTAATTACAGAATATGAGCTAATTATTCAAAGTAAATTAGAATATGATGCATCTAACTTTTAAGGAATGGTATATTAAAATTAAACGATTGTAATAATAATTTACTTGTACAACATTGCAATTAAGAATGAATTAGGTAAATAAAAAACAATATAGTTATTGCCAAAACATTACATAAAAATCGTGTTTTTCCTTGCTTTGGAAGCACAATCTTTAATTACATCTTCGTAATTTATTTGCCTAAGCAATGTCCTTCTATCGTGAGCAATGAAAGGGCATTCAAGCGTTCATTTAACATCGCAGCATGAAATTCATGTTTTACTCTAGACATTTTAGAAAAAGCTCTCTCTGCACTGTAATTCGTGGCGAATAGGCACAAGTATACTATATTCTTAATGGCACGTCAACATTAGGAAAAGGAGATTCGAGTTTTTTTTTTTTTATTGCTTTGATGCATTGTTGGGCGGATGGTGTTTCACTATAAAAAATTTGCAAACTGTACCATTAAAATTTTCTACGAGGAACACTCGCTAGGAGTAACACGAGTAGCACGAGCTGCATGTAACTTGGTTAGTGTAACATTTGCTTCTTGTTGCACCATATTTTGACACTTCTTATGGCGGAAATTTTAAAAATCACAGTCCAAAAGGCAATAAAACAATAAAATTTAATTATAAACAGTTGTATAAGGTTAAGACGTATTAAACTATTTATGATGTTAGAAAAACATGTAGGTTCAAAAAGTCTTGATAGAAAAGAATAAAAATCCTATAACCCGAGCGCTTTCGAAAAGTGGACCTTCTTTAGGAGCAAACTATTTAGTGTAAAGAAATATTGTTTTCTGTTACAATATGAAGCAATTCTAGAAAGGAAAAATGATAATTTTGATTTATTTAAAAAAATTTTTATGGTGGTTATGAGGTCGGTCAAATTGATCTAGTTTGTATTGGGTAAGAATAGAACAAATAACAGATAAAATATGAAAATTTATCGAAGAAAGAGAGAGAGTTAAACTGACGGTCCGGATCTTCAGTAGGGGCACCTCACCGCTTGAGGCCCTGCTCAACTTCGCCAGGTTGATGCGGCTCTGGATGTCTGCCATTACACTGTGAATCTTCTTTCATGGGAATTCACTCTTATAATTTCTCTGACATAAAGCATATATAATGCATAGCTAGCAATTCCACAAATCAGATATCAACAGAAACAGGTAACCAAGTAGTAGACACATGCAAATAATATAACTGTAGATATCGATCAAACTATAATTGTAGTAAGTACCTGATATACTTATTTCAACAGAAAATATTTTCATGGGAAGAAACATTTGTTTGTTTGTAGTTAAGCACAAAGCTACACAAAGGGCTATCTGTGCTCTGCCCACCACGGGTATCGAAACCCGGTTTCTAGCGTTATAAGTCCGCAGACATACCACTGTGCCACTGGGGGCAGGGAAGAAACATACACCAAACCAACAAATATTGGCAACCCCAAACTTACTACCCATTTAACCCGCGGATTGCTAATGTTTATACTGTTCAGATACAGATAACAAAAAGAAAAAAGAGCGATGCTCAAACCAGATAACTTGTTTATAGCCATGTTACTCGTTATTTGCCAAAAAAAATGAATGAAAGGATTAATACACTATTATATTAGGTCTTCAAGAAATTAATGTCGCTTTTTTTAGATGAAAAACCCGAACAACTTATATATCAAAACAAAACATTTATTAAATGAAATAGCATCCATTCTTGTTTGTTTGTAATTAAGCACAAAGCTACACAATGGGCTATCTGTGCTCTGCCCACCATGGGTATCGAAACCCGGATTCTAGCATTCTAAGTCCGCAGACATTCCGCTGTGCCACTGGGGGGCGTCTCCATTCTTATCTATGATGCTTTTCCATCTTACAATCAGGTTGTTAATGCTCTGATTAAAGAAATCACTTCGCTTTGAAGCAAAAACATGTCGATGTCTTCTTTAACACCTTCCCCATTTACACACATTTTCCTATTAAGATGGTGTTGCAGCGAATGAAAAAGATGGTAATCTGATGGTGCCATATCTGTAGAATATGGTGGGTGGATGGAGAACAGCCTAACCCAACTCTATAATCTCATGTCAAACGTGCCGCATGTGGACGTGCATTGTCGTGGAGAAGAAGAACACCTTGCCGATTGAAGGGTAAAGGGCATTTCTGATGAAGGGCTTGATTTAAACGTTCCAGTTACTGACTATGGATCTCTGCACTGACAGTTCGCTGTGGATTGAGGAGTTTGAAACGAATTACTCCTTTGATGTCCCACCAAATGCAAAGCATCACTCTCTGCGATGGAGTCCAAGTTTTCGGGTCGGAAGTGTTTTTGTCTAGGACTGAGGCATTGTTTTTGGCGTTTAATATTCGCATAGAGAATCCATTTTTCATCATCGTGACAATTCTGTCCAAAAATGGTTCACGCGCTTTACACACCAGAAGAGACGCAGAAATGTTCATACGTTGGAAACGATGATCATCGGAGAGTTCGTGAGGCACCCAAACACCTTCTTTATGGAGTTTTCCCATATTCCTTAGATGTTTACGCATTGTTTCATGAGAGACATGCAATATGAGGGCCATTTCAAGAGTGTGATGCCTTAGGTTAGACTCAACAAGCGTCTTTAGAGCATCAATATCAATTCCAACATGTCGGCCCTGCCATCACAGTTTTTAAGGCTAAAGCGACCTGAACGAAATTTGCTGAACCATCACTGACATTTACGAACATTCAAAACATTTCCATAAACTTCTTTGATATTCTTTGTGGATAAAAAGGCGTTGTTTCCCTTCTTGTATTCAAACACCATTACATGCTGAATGTGTATCTCGTCACATGCCATCACAATAAGGGATTAGAGTATACGTGACGTTTAAGCGGTTCGTTTAACTATTATACGTGTTCCAAAACGCGACATTAATTTCTTGACGACCTAATACTATTAATATACTTCGAGAGGAAATTTGGGCTATCATTTTATAATGTGGTGTTCACTGTGATTATGTAAAGACTCCTAAGTACAACCACCACTGTGTCCGTCTTAATCCAGCCGGCTTGATGAGTCCTGTATTGTTTGACATATTGTATCCATTCTTTACGTTCAATCACAAGTCATTAGAATATACTTGAGATGACCGAGTAACTGATAAAAACTTAAAAGTGAAACGTATGATCTAATAAAACAAACTTTTTTTTCTGTAATAATTTCTGTACTAATTGTAGATATAAGATTATATTTCTGTAACTTGTATAAGTTGTCTAGTAACTATTTTTATATTACAGTTTGCTCTTTTAAGTTATATATAAACTGAGTATTTTAGAAACATTAGAATAATTTAATTATTCAAAATTATGCATCGTTTAACTGAATTAAGTTTTAATTAATTGAAGTGAGGAAATTGAGTGTTCACGTGAGCGGAAATGAAGCATAGAGAAGGTTGGGTATGTTTTGCGCTAATTTTCAAAGTCATAGTTGTAAGTTTTCTGACCGAAATGTGACAACCCTAAAAGTTACAATTATGCTGAGTGTGTAGTCATAGTGCCTTATTAGGTGACTGATGTTATTTTGTAAATATTTATCAGACACTGAGCATGTAATATATTAATTAATAGAAACAATCATGGCTACTAAAGAAGTTCTTCAAAATATTTTTTATTTTACTAACAACGTCCTAAGAGCTGCATATTTTGATAGGGACTGGGAAAAAAATTCTTTGCTGAAAGCGTTTCAGTGGGCAAAGTACTGTGAAAAGGTAAGAATCAACCAAGCAGTAAAGTTATTAATAATATTATATATTATTAACTTCTGATTAGAGCAAGCTACGTACTTAACTTAAGTTAGACTCTAACTCTCAGTACATAATACAATAATAATTAATATTATATCTGAATTTTTTCAAAAAATCCTTTATATGAATGAAAGTAAGACTTGCAGATTTTCCTAAATTAAAATTGATATTATTTTACATGCAATTTTGGGAAAACCATTAAATATTAAACTTATTTTCACATGAAATAGGATTATCAGTGGTTTAATATTTTTGTTCATAGGTCTTCCATGAAGCAGTTGCAAAATCACTTTCGATAGAATTGGAAAAATATCTTCAGGACTTAACTTTGAAGATTCCAAATTGTGTTGTACCTTGCTTAAATCTGTGCTTTCTGAGAGATGCAACACATCAGTTAACACTGGTAGTTTTCTTCACATGTATAATAAGTTTGATCTTGTTAGTAATTTTACCATTTAGTTTTTTTTATATTCATCAGTATTCAGAAACTGATAAGGTGAAATGAAATCTTCAGTTTTCTTCAACATTCATATATGGTTCAATCAACTAATATTATTCTGTTATTTCAGTGATGAGATGCAGTATATAATTTATGATGCTTAAGAATGTGTAAAATAAATTAGTGATGTAATGCCATTCATCCTAGTGAGGTCACCTGTAAACCTAAGCCACAGGTATGTTGACGTAACTAACAAACCTTGTATATACTATTTGATTTTGATAAACAAGATTACGACACTTATGATATACAACATTGTTTATTGACAAAAAGGGGACATAGATAAACGTTTCAGAATTCTATCAGATTACATCTTCAGTATCTAAAGCAAAATAAAATAAATTTACGTAAGTCTTTGGACTTTGTTAAAGTACAATTGCTAAATATAACGATAATTAAACAAATAAAACACAAAACAGTAATCATAGGGAGAAACTACAGCAAGAAAACACAACAACAAAAAAAAAAAGGTAAAATCAGTAATACAAACATATTCAAAAATGTATAATTTAAATGAAGACTG